CCCGATGCATACTTGCGATTGGGAGCTTTCTGGTCATGTGAACGCTGTGACAGTCAATCCTGGCTTTTAGAACTCTTAAATGGCTGGGAGGCTGTTGGCATGAAGGGGTTAAGCCTATGATCTACCAGAACACCCAGGTCTATCTTCAGTTGTACCACTCTTAGCAGGGGGCGGACTGACAACTCATGGGGCCCCCGGGCAATAGGGGATCATGGGGCCCGTATCCTTGCCCAAACTCAAAAAAAGCCTATGAAAAAGGTACCAGGGGCATCCCATGGGGCCCCCTACTGACCCAGGGCCCTCGAGTTTCCAAATGGTCAGTCCGCCCCTGCCTCTTAGTAATATGCAAGCATATTTTTAGCCCCCAAAGGCATAACTTTACATTTGTCAACATTAAACCTCTTTTGCCTCATAGTTGTCCAATTAAACAGTTTAAAGTTGGCTTCTAAATTGGAGACATCCTATAAGGACGTTATTCCACTGCACAGCTTGGTGTCATCTGCAAAGACTGGAATGGTGGTTTTAATCCCAGACCCTATATCATTTATAAATATATTAAAATGTAAGGGTCCCAAACACAGAACCTTGGGGTACACCACTAATAACCTTACACTATGCTACCCATTACCTGTGAGCACAGCTCGTCGTATATATGGGGTGGGGGTGGTGAGAGTTCCATCGGTTCACAAACAATACAGTGATCATCCACTTTTAAGAAATTATTATTATAGACTCAATTCACACAGCTTACAGACTAGGATAATGCTCTTTAAATTTTCATTATTAAAAGTAGAACTAACCTCCCCCTAGAAACTATGTGTTGACTTATAGTTTTCTTTTAGTCCTCATGCAAAGTGCCACAAATACCTGCCATTGAAGTCCATTTAACCAGTTCAATACCAGGCACTTTCACCCCTGCTTGCCGAGGCCAATTTTCAGCTTTCAGCACTGTTGCACTTTGAATGACAATTGCACGGTCATGCAACACTGTACCCAATTGAAATTTTTATCATTCTTTTCACGCAAATAGAGCTTTCTTTTGGTGGTATTTAATCACGACTGATTTTTTTTCCTATTTTTTTGTTAAATAAATGATAAAATGCCAAACATTTTGAAAGAAAAAAACATGTTTTTTCTTTGTTTCTGTTATACAATTTTGCAAAATAAATAGCTGTTGTTCTTAAATTCAAGCCAAAATGTATTCTGCTATATTTCTTCAGTGCAAATAACCCAAATCAGTGTATATTATTTAATCTGTAGGTTATAGAGTCCACAACTATGGTATATATCTAAAAATTGATCAATGCTGATGGTCGATCTCATTTCAAAGTTCTAAAATGTCAGGACAGTACAAATATGCCCAAATGACCCCTTTTTGGAAAGTACACAGTCCAATGTTTTAGTAAGAGGCATGGTGTGTTTTTGAAGTTGTAATTCATTTTTTTTCTTCTTAATTACATTATTTTCTTTTTTCTTTTTTAGCACACTGTAACCAGAGCAATACAATGTTACTATAGTAAAATTTCACTACTCTGATATTTTTTTTTTAATTATGATTGCTTATAACAGTGGATTTCATTGCTATAAGAAAGCATTTTTTTACTGAATGAAATCAATTACTTTAGTATATATTGTTGTGATTAGCTGTGATTGGCCACAGCTAATCACATGATACAGATGGGCTGTGATTGACTCTGTTTGTACCATGTGATTATTGTGACCAATCACAGCAGGCAACGCAATTGTACACAATGAATGGCAGCAATGGAAGCATCCATTGTGTACAATTGTCATGTGATCTGCTGTGATTGGGCTGGTATAGTGGTCTGTCTGTCATTGGTTGTGTCCGGTGACAGATCGTGCCCTCAGTGCAGCCGCGCACAAAGACAGCTGGGAGGACGTCATATGAAAGGAAAGTCCCGCTCAGCAGTCATTTTGTAATAGGCCAGGCAAGATGTGGTTATTGAAGCTTCCGATGACGATGTGGCAACAATCCTGTATTGTTCCTGAATTCAAAGCAGAGCTGTACAGTCATGTAGGCTGCACTACAGTGGGATAAAAACATGTTGCAGGGGATGTGAACTATAATTGGGATGCACTCATCCCTGCCCACTGCTTTCTGGACAGCACTGCCTCTGCTGCTAAAACCCTCCCACTAGGAGCTGCAGTATCCAGTAGGGGGAAAATATTTGGCTGAGTTAGGAGGGTTAGGGTAATTTTTTGCTTACTTTATGCAGTTTTTTTTATTGTTAATCAATTTTTATTGAATTTTTGAAAATTATACGTTCATTAGAACACATAGTAGGTCTGAACATCAAGAGAATATGAAAAACCACATATGGCAGTCCTACCTACAGAGATTTATAAAAGGCAAAAAAAAGGAACTAAAAAAGGCAATACTATCAATCACATCAGACCCAATACTACTATGTCAACTTATGCAGTGTTTTACTTTGATTTGATTTGTTTAGACTGTCATACAAAAGCCTTTTGCTAATGACAATTATTTTCAACTAAGTAAAGTTAGATTTGAATTTAACACAAACATCATTTTATTTTATTTTTTGTATATATTGTTTGTATGTTAAGGTTTGAGGTCAGCTATTTTTTTTCTGATGTACTGATGGCTGATTTCATTTCAAAGTGCTAAAATGTTAGGACAGTACAAATATGCCCAAATGACCCCTTCTTGGAGAGTACACAGTCCAATGCTTTAGTAAGAGGCATGGTGTGTTTTTGAAGTTGTAATTCATTTTTTTTTCTTTTTAATTACATTTATTTTCTTTTTTTTCTTTTTTAGCACACTGTGACCAGAGCAATACAATGTTACTATAGTAACATTTCACTACTGAGATTTTTTTTTTAATTATGATTGCTTATAGCAGTGGATTTCATTGCTATAAGAAAGCATTTTTTACTGAATGAAATCAATTAATTCAGTATATATTGTTGTGATTAGCTGTGATTGGCCACAGCTAATCACATGATACAGATGGGCTGTGATTGGCTCTGTTTGTACCATGTGATTACTGTGAACAATCACAGCAGGCAACACAATTTCACTACTCTGAGAAAGTGATCAGGAGTTTTTTTTTTTTTTTTCATTATGATTGCTTATAGCAGCGGTTTTCATTGCTATAAGAAAGCTTTTTTTACTGAATGTAATTGATTCATTCAGTATATATTGATAGAGACAAGTAGTATAGGAGCGCTTACTGTGGTAAAGATATAATCAAAATAAAAAAGCTGCTAGAACACCAAAAAGGCAACCAACATAACCTTCCAAGATAATATATAGGCAAAAAGGTGCAGCGCTAATAAAAGTGTCAACATTCATTCAGTGTATGGAATAGAAAACAAGAAAGAAGACATAAGGTCATAAGATCGATCATAAAAGTTTGATGTTCAATCCAGTGTCCATGAACATGCAAAAGGGGTACGGTGTGTCAATTCTACCCGGTCTCCTCTGCAGATCAGGGCGAGTGATCCAAATGTGAGCAGGGAATATATTAATTAAATGCGCACTCACCAGAAGTGCGTCAAAAAACTGCATGTAAGCAGTATCCTCTCTTCAGATGCATCTAGGTTCTCCACACTCTCTGGTGAAGCCGCGTTCCCTAGTTCTCATTGGTCATCCCTCCTGGTCAGGTTCCATGGTACATAAGGCACTCATACATTTCTGGAGTCCTCCTTAACCTTGGTGCTGTGAAAGGGTGGTGCTCATGAAGAGCCCAATAAGGGACATCACATAGCGTGATACTGCATAAACACTTTATTCAAAAAATGACACAGGATTAGATGAAATGAAAGTACTGACCGCAAAAAGGGGTAAGATGTCCTGGTGCTGTAGCCCCCCACTGACGCGTTTCGTGCTATGCACGTTCTCAAAGGGTCAAGGCTAGGTATATATTGATACTTTGAATTTGATACTTGTTTAGACTGTCATACAAAAGCCTTTTGCTAATGAAAAGTAAAGTTAGATTTGAATTTAACACAAACATAATTTTATTTTATTTTTTGCATATACAGTTTGTATGTTAAGGTTTGAGGTTAGCTATTTTTTTTTTTATTATTTTACTCACCTTCAGAATTATTGTGGTATTTATATGTGTTGCAGGACTCTAACTAGTGCTGCTGAAGAAATTTGTTTCACATTGTCAGATGGCAAATCCATATTTGCTTTAGGCAATGTGTGCAGCTAAAGGCTAAGATTAGTATTCAGTCCAGACTGAAGTCTTGTATTGACGTTACTATTCGGAATAATCTTTCTGAAGTTAATATAGTGAAAGAGATTTTTGTATTGCATTATGACTATAAAATGTGTTAAAACATTACATTTTTAAAGGATGCTTGTGATAAACCTGGGCAAATAAACTGATAATTTGATTAAAAACAAACCATAATAAAAGGTAACTTTCAGTGAAAACCATGTGGGAAATGACCAGTACAGGCAGCTAAATTTACAGTATTTTCAAATCCAAACTTTCCTTGTAAAATGTGATCCCGCAGGCAGTGTTCTATGTCTTTCTGACAACTGTCTCCCAAACTTCCTTCTGTGTTGTCATCCTGTTACAAGTGCCCCCGGTGGAAACTAAAAGTAGCTGAATCTACACACATTACACAGGCATGGTCTACTGTTTTCATCATCTGGAAGCTGGTTCAGAGCACTGAACAGTGCATATTGACTATAAGTGGCTTGAGGGCCAATTCACACTACATGCATCTCATTGTGCTTTTTTTCTGCATCCAAAATGCACAGAACTGTACTGGAACGCAGTAAAACCCATAAAAAATGCATTGGAATGCACATGTTTCTTATCTAAATTGAAGAAAAAGAGAAAGGAAAAAATTAACCAGAATGCATACAAAACGCATAAAAAGGCACCGAAACGTAACAAAAATGTGTCAAAAATGCACATGTGGAAAAGGATCTGGAATGCAGTGTGAATCTAGTGTGAACTGAAGAGGGTGGAGGAGATCAGCAGCACTGAAATAAAAAAAAAGATAAAATAAGATGAAAAAAGCATTTAAAAAATGTGAATTACCTGAGATACACATATCATAGAAAACTAAATGTCATTCAGCTACAGTTTATATCTCCTCTAAGCATTAAATTCTTCAAACACCTTGCCAAAGATTAATCACTTCAAATCCGGACACTTTCACCCCCTTCCATTCCAGGCTAATTTTCAGCTTTCACATTTTTAGTGGCAATTACTCGGTCAGGCAACACTGTACTCATGTGTAATTTTTATCATTTTTTGAGACAGACAAAGCTTTCTTTTGGTGGCATTTAATCACTATTTTTTTTGCTATGTAAATGAAAAAAGATCAAAAATTTTGAAAAAAAAGTGCTTAGTTTTTGTTATAAAATTTTGCAAATAAATAATCTTTCTTCATAAATGTAGGCTAAAATGTATTCTGCTACATTTTTGGGTACAAAACACAAAACAGTGTATATTATTTAAAGGAAAGTTGTAAAGGGCGTTAGCAGGTGCAAAAAAGGGGGGCACTGGTGCAACTGACAAAAAAAACCCAAAACAATAGGCAAGGAATGATATATGAATAAAAGGAGTCGGTTTAGTCCTTAAGTCCATAAAAAACACATGAAGTTCACATTGTGTGTCAAACAGTCTCTTTTCCAAGCAGGATCTGGGGAAACCATGTATTAACTCCTTGACGCTGATGGCACACAAATATGCGGCCTCATGGAACTGGGCTTTTTTCCGTGGGGCCGCATATTTGTGTACCTGTTTTTGTGCTGGGAGCACGCCGCATGGCGCGCTCCCAGCACAGAGACCGTGGTGTCACTGAGAGCCCCAGCCACGGTGTCACTGAGAGCCCCTAACGATCGGGACCCGGGACTCCCGATTCCAGGTCACGTGATCGCTGTGATCAGTCACTGTGCAGCCCGGCCCCCTTGTTTTTTCTCTCTCTATGAATGGAAAAGAGAGATACATTGTATCTCTCTAACTCCTGACATAGAGAGATAAAAAAATTTTTGCAAAAAAAAAAGAAGATAGATAAATAAATATTAAAAAAATTAAATAAAAAATAAAGAAAAATACCTAGATCAAGGTTTGATCTAGTTCAGTGCCAGGGTTAGTGTTTGGGTCCAGGTCAGGGTCAAAGTTTAAAGTCAAAGGTCAGGGTCAAATGTCAGGATTTAAAAAGAAATATTGGTATCAGTGTCAGTTAGTGTTAATGTCAGTGTCAGTGTGTTTTAGGTAACAAAAAAAAAAAAGACAAAAACAAAATCCGCACTATTGTTTCTGGGCTGTACTACGGGTACAAACAAACAAATAACATACACATATATGGTATCGCTGCGATCGTCAAGAGCTGGAGAATTTATTTTGGGTTTTTCTTTGGTGGTAGGTTATGGTCGTAACAAGAAACACACAGCTAAATAAAAAAAAATATTTTTTTTTACTATTTTGGGCCAGTTTTTCCTTTGATAATAAAAAAAAATTAGGAGCTATCCATTACTATTTACCACCAATGAAAGCCCAATTTGTCCTGAAAAAAACAAGGTATAATCCACCTGGATGTACAAAGTAGTTGTGATGATATGTACGGTTTTACTAACACAGGTCAACATTGCAGAATTGTGCTTAGGCATTTAGATTTGTTTTACCCCTTAGGCGTGAAGGGGTTAACAAAAAACTTCCCTGCTGCCCACAGTGGTTTCTCATCCATGTGATATACACACTCAGTCTGCTGCCATCGCTGGCCCTTCTTGGTGTTCCTCTGGTCAGCTTCCTGGTTCCTAGCACCTTACATTACGTCCAGGCAGAGGGGCTTGCTCAACATTGACCACCTAGAAAGTCACCAGCTGCTGGAAACTTATTTATATGCCTCTGTTAAATGTGAGTGCATATTTATTTATTTTTTCATTTCACCAATATGTTTTAATAAATGCTACACTTAGGTAGTGGCAATTTTCTATACTTATTTTTGCTGTTTTATACAGTGTATATTATTTGGTCTTCGTGAAAGTTATAGGGTCTACAAACTATGGGAAATATATCTAAAAATTGATCAGTTGAGACCATAAAATACCGGACACTGGTATGGTAGTGAGGAGGACGTTGGTATGAGGTATGGCAGTGATCAGGACACTGGTATGGCAGTGATGAGAGAATATTGGTATAGGGTATGACGGTGGTCAGAACACTGTTATGGGGTATGGCAGTGGTCAGAACACTGGTATGGGGTATGGCGGTAATCAAAACGCTGGTATAGGGTATGGCGGTGATCAAGACGCTGGTATGGGGTATGGTGGTGATCAGGACACTGACATGGGGTATGGCAGTGATCAGAACGCTGGTATGGGTTATGCCAATGATCAGGACGCTGGTATGGCAGTGATGAGGATATTGGTATGGGGTGTGGCAGTGATCAGAACGCTTGTATGGGGTTTGGTGGTGATCAGGACAATGGTATGGGGTATGGCTGTGATCAAAGCACTGGTATAGCGGTGATCAGAACGCTGGTAAGGGGTATGGTGGTGATCAGGATGCTGGTATGGCAGTGATGGTGATATTGGTATGGGGCATGGCAGTGATCAGAATGCTTGTATGGGGTATGTCAGTGATCAGAATGCTTGTATGGGCTATGGCAGTGATCAGAACCCTGGTATGGGCTATGGCAGTGATCAGAACGCTGGTATGGGCTATGGCAGTGATCAGAACGCTGGTATGGGCTATGGCAGTGATCAGACCGCTGATAAGGCAGTGATGAGGATATTAGAATGGATTATGGTGGTGATCAGAATGCTGGTATGGGGTATGGAAGTGATCAGAATAGTGATATAGGGTATGGCTGTGATCAGGATGCTGGTATGGCAGTGATGAGGATATTGTTATGGATTATGGCGGTGATCAGAATGCTGGTATGGGCTATGGCAGTGATCAGGATGCTGGTATGGCAGTGATGATGATATTGGTATGGGGTATGGCGGTGATCAGAACGCTGGTATGGGTTAGGGCAGTGATCAGACCGCTGGTATGGCAGTGATGAGGATATTGTTATGGATTATGGTGGTGATCAGAATGCTGGTATGGGGTATGGAAATGATCAGAATAGTGATATAGGGTATGGCTGTGATCAGGATGCTGGTATGGCAGCGATGATGATATTGGTATGGGGGTATGGCGGTGATCAGAACGCTGGTATGGGTTATGGCAATGATCAGGATGCTGGTAAGGCAGTGATGAGGATATTGTTATTGATTATGGTGGTGATCAGAATGCTGGTATGGGGTATGGCGGTGATCAGATCGCTGGTATGGCAGTGATGATGATATTGGTATGGGGTATGATAGTGATCAGAATGCTGGTATGGGGTATGGAAGTAATCAGGATGCTGGTATGGCAGTGATGATGATATTGGTATGGGGTATGGTAGTGATCAGAGCGCTGGTATGGGGTATGGTAGTGATCAGAACGCTGGTATGGCAGTGATGAGGATATTGGTAAGGATTATGGTGGTGATCAGAATGCTGGTATGGGCTATGGCAGTGATCAGACCGCTGGTATGGCAGTGATGAGGATATTGGTAAGGATTATGGTGGTGATCAGAATGCTGGTATGGGGTATGGCAGTGATCAGAATAGTGATATGGGGTATGGCTGTGATCAGGATGCTGGTATGGCAGTGATGATGATATTGGTATGGGGTATGGTAGTGATCAGAACGCTGGTATGGGCTATGACGGTGATCAGAACACTGAAATGTGGCATGGCGGTGATCAGGACATGGTATGGTGTATTGCAGTGTTATTCTGAGCATTTGGACAGGTGACAGGTGCTGGCTGCATTATTATTAATATTGTGATTGTACTGGAGCAGTGATAGGGACACTGGGGTGGCTGGCACTGCAGTCAGTGAGGGTACATGCACTGTGACAGGCTGCTGTACACTCATAGGCTGCAGTATCACTTCTCTCTGCTCTCTGTGTCTAGGGCGCAATGAAGTCTAGCACCGGCCCTGCATCCGCTGTTATAGGCTATGGGTGGATGGGAAACAGTTAAAGGAACAGGGTCAGGACACTCCTGAGGCATTATGCCAGTGTTTTATCAGATGCCACAAAGGGTGCAATACAAGACTGTAATCAAATTCTTATGCTTGCCAGCAATATTATTATGACGCACTTGTACATACATCTAAAGATCTTTGAAGGTCAGAATCGGGCTCCTATTTTATGACAACCAGCACTAATAATATTCAGCACATACCAAAGAAATAAAAACTCTTTAAAAAAAAACAACATATCCCTTGACACATGTGAACACATATGATTATGTAGCAACTGTTTGGAAGGCATAAGGAACACTAGTTGATCCCAGTGGGAGCCTGCTATTTTTAAATTAGTAGTTCATCAACAGTAAGTTCACTTATTCAGTCCTCTGTAAAAAAAAAAAAAGTAAGGCAGTATATTACAGGATGCTGTTTTTTTATTACTATAATGGATCGCCACTACAAAAATTTTTTTTAATACATATAACATAGAAAATTATCAAGCACAAATCACCATGTGCAATAAAGGCGGCTGCCATCTATAACTCTCATTTATATACTTTAGTCACCACTAGGGGGCAAACAGGAATTCAGTTCACACAGGAGCTCCATCAGAGCTCTCCCTGTGGTCAATTGGCAAACCACTATCAATTGTACCATACATGTTTAGATTCATACTGCCAATTTTCTTTGCATTTTATTGACAACTTTTAACCATTTCATGTTTATAACTTTATTAGGGAATACACAAAACAGATGTACACAGAGAGAAACATCCAACTACAGCAAGCATACTCAGTTTATTCATGTATAAATGGCAAGAATGTGAAACCTTCATTAAGGTCTGGAGGGGCCCTAAATCGCAAGCTAAAAATCCATCTAGCTTCAGCTCTCAGCAGCATTCTGTCCAAATTGCCCTTTCTCTGTCCCAATTTAACTCAAAATTTTAGACCATTGGGTTTACCTCTATGTTTATACCAAAAATGCCTCACTACTGGTCTTTCTTTCTTCAAGAATTTATCATTT